ATAAGCTTGACGCTGATCTCCAAGATAACTCAGTGATATAAGCTTGACGCTGCTCTCCAAGATAACTCAGTACTGTTAGCTTGACGCTGCTCTCCAAGATAACTCAGTGATATAAGCTTGACGCTGCTCTCCCAGATAACTCAGTGCCGTAAGCTTGACGCTGCTCTCCAAGATAACTCAGCACCGTAAGCTTGACGCTGCTCTCCAAGATAACTCAGTACTGTTAGCTTGATGCTGCTCTCCAAGATAACTCAGTGCTGTAAGCTTGACGCTGCTCTCCAAGATAACTCAGTGATGTAAGCTTGATGCTGCTCTCCAAGATAACTCAGTGATGTAAGCTTGACGCTGCTCTCCAAGATAACTCAGTGATGTAAGCTTGACGCTGCTCTTCAAGATAACTCAGTGCCATAAGCTTGATGCTGCTCTCCAAAATAACTCAGTGCCATAAGCTTGACGCTGATCTCCAAGATAACTCAGTGATGTAAGCTTGACGCTGCTCTCCAAGATAACTCAGTGTTGTAAGCTTGACGCTGCTCTCCAAGATAACTCAGTGCCGTAAGCTTGACGCTGCTCTCCAAGATAACTCAGTGATGTAAGCTTGACGGTGATCTCCAAGATAACTCAGTGATATAAGCTTGATGCTGCTCTCCATGATAACTCAGTGCTATAAGCTTGTCGCTGCTCTCCAAGATAACTCAATGATGTAAGCTTGACGCTGCTCTCCAAGATAACTCAGTGATGTAAGCTTGACGCTGCTCTCCAAGATAACTCAGTGATGTAAGCTTGATGCTGCTCTCCAAGATAACTCAGTACCGTAAGCTTGACGCTGCTCTCCAAGATAACTCAGTGCCGTAAGCTTGACGCTGCTCTCCAAGATAACTCAGTACCGTAAGCTTGACGCTGATCTCCAAGATAACTCAGTGATATAAGCTTGACGCTGCTCTCCAAGATAACTCAGTACCGAGAGCTTGATGCTGCTCACCAAGATAACTCAGTGATATAAGCTTGACGCTGCTCTCCAAGATAACTCAGTGCCGTAAGCTTGACGCTGCTCTCCAAGATAACTCAGTACCGTAAGCTTGACGCTGCTCTCCAAGATAACTCAGTACCGTAAGCTTGACGCTGCTCTCCAAGATAACTTAGTGATATAAGCTTGATGCTGCTCTCCAAGATAACTCAGTGCCGTAAGCTTGACGCTGCTCTCCAAGATAACTCAGTGCCGTAAGCTTGACGCTGGTCTCCAAGATAACTCAGTGCCGTAAGCTTGACGCTGCTCTCCAAGATAACTCAGTACCGTAAGCTTGACGCTGCTCTCCAAGATAACTCAGTGCCATAAGCTTGATGCTGCTCTCCAAGATAACTCAGTGCCGTAAGCTTGACGCTGCTCTCCAAGATAACTCAGTGCCGTAAGCTTGACGCTGCTCTCCAAGATAACTCAGTGCCGTAAGCTTGACGCTGCTCTCCAAGATAACTTAGTACTGTAAGCCTGACGCTGCTCTCCAAGATAACTCAGTGATATAAGCTTGACGCTGCTCTCCAAGATAACTCAGTGATATAAGCTTGACGCTGATCTCCAAGATAACTCAGTGATATAAGCTTGACGCTGCTCTCCAAGATAACTCAGTACTGTTAGCTTGACGCTGCTCTCCAAGATAACTCAGTGATATAAGCTTGACGCTGCTCTCCCAGATAACTCAGTGCCGTAAGCTTGACGCTGCTCTCCCAGATAACTCAGTGCCGTAAGCTTGACGCTGCTCTCCAAGATAACTCAGCACCGTAAGCTTGACGCTGCTCTCCAAGATAACTCAGTACTGTTAGCTTGATGCTGCTCTCCAAGATAACTCAGTGCTGTAAGCTTGACGCTGCTCTCCAAGATAACTCAGTGATATAAGCTTGACGCTGCTCTCCAAGATAACTCAGTACCGTAAGCTTGACGCTGCTCTCCAAGATAACTCATTACTGTAAGCTTTATGCTGCTCTCCAAGATAACTCAGTGATGTAAGCTTGACGCTGCTCTCCAAGATAACTCAGTGCCGTAAGCTTGACGCTGCTCTCCAAGATAACTCAGTACCGTAAGCTTGACGCTGCTCTCCAAGATAACTCAGTGTTGTAAGCTTGACGCTGCTCTCTAAGATAACTCAGTGATGTAAGCTTGACGCTGCTCTCCAAGATAACTCAGTGCCGTAAGCTTGAAGCTGCTCTCCAAGATAACTCAGTGATGTAAGCTTGACGCTGCTCTCCAAGATAACTCAGTGATGTAAGCTTGACGGTGCTCTCCAAGATAACTCAGTGCCATAAGCTTGAAGCTGCTCTCCAAGATAACTCAGTGCCATAAGCTTGAAGCTGCTCTCCAAGATAACTCAGTGCCGTAAGCTTGACGCTGCTCTCCAAGTAACTCAGTGATGTAAGCTTGACGCTGCTCTCTAAGATAACTCAGTGCCGAAAGTTTGACGCTGCTCTCCAAGATAACTCATTGCCATAAGCTTGACGCTGATCTCCAAGATAACTCAGTGCCATAAGCCTGGCGCTGCTCTCCAAGATAACTCAGTGATGTAAGCTTGACGCTGCTCTCCAAGATAACTCAGTGCCGTAAGCTTGACGCTGCTATCCAAGATAACTCAGTGCCGTAAGCTTGACGGTGCTCTCCAAGATAACTCAGTGCCGTAAGCCTGACGCTGCTCTCCAAGATAACTCAGTGCCGTAAGCTTGACGGTGCTCTCCAAGAAAACTCAGTGCCGTAAGCTTGACGATGCTCTCCAAGATAACTCAGTGATGTAAACTTGACGCTGCTCTCCAAGATAACTCAGTGCCGTAAGCTTGACGCTGCTCTCCAAGATAACTCAGTACCGTAAGCTTGACGCTGCTCTCCAAGATAACTCAGTGCCGTAAGCTTGACGCCGCTCTCCAAGATAACTCAGTACCGTAAGCATGACGCTGCTCTCCAAGATAACTCAGTGCCGTAAGCTTGACGGTGCTCTCCAAGATAACTCAGTGCCGTAAGCCTGACGCTGCTCTCCAAGATAACTCAGTGATGTAAGCTTGACGCTGCTCTCCAAGATAACTCAGTACCGTAAGCATGACGCTGCTCTCCAAGATAACTCAGTGCCGTAAGCTTGACGCTGCTCTCCAAGATAACTCAGTACCGTAAGCATGACGCTGCTCTCCAAGATAACTCAGTACCGTAAGCTTGACGCTGCTCTCCAAGATAACTCAGCGCCGTAAGCTTGACGCTGCTCTCCAAGATAACTCAGTACCGTAAGCATGACGCTGCTCTCCAAGATAACTCAGTGCCGTAAGCTTGACGGTGCTCTCCAAGATAACTCAGTGCCGTAAGCCTGACGCTGCTCTCCAAGATAACTCAGTGATGTAAGCTTGACGCTGCTCTCCAAGATAACTCAGTACCGTAAGCTTGACGCCGCTCTCCAAGATAACTCAGTACCGTAAGCATGACGCTGCTCTCCAATATAACTCAGTGCCGTAAGCTTGACGCCGCTCTCCAAGATAACTCAGTACCGTAAGCATGACGCTGCTCTCCAAGATAACTCAGTGCCGTAAGCCTGACGCTGCTCTCCAAGATAACTCAGTGATGTAAGCTTGACGCTGCTCTCCAAGATAACTCAGTACCGTAAGCATGACGCTGCTCTCCAAGATAACTCAGTACCGTAAGCGTGACGCTGCTCTCCAAGATAACTCAGCGCCGTAAGCTTGACGCTGCTCTCCAAGATAACTCAGCGCCGTAAGCTTGACGCTGCTCTCCAAGATAACTCAGCGCCGTAAGCTTGACGCTGCTCTCCAAGATAACTCAGCGCCGTAAGCTTGACGCTCCTCTCCAAGATAACTCAGCGCCGTAAGCTTGACGCTGATCTCCAAGATAACTCAGCGCCGTAAGCTTGACGCTGCTCTCCAAGATAACTCAGCGCCGTAAGCTTGACGCTCCTCTCCAAGATAACTCAGCGCCGTAAGCTTGACGCTGCTCTCCAAGATAACTCAGCGCCGTAAGCTTGACGCTGCTCTCCAAGATAACTCAGCGCCGTAAGCTTGACGCTGCTCTCCAAGATAACTCAGCGCCGTAAGCTTGACGCTGCTCTCCAAGATAACTCAGTACCGTAAGCGTGACGCTGCTCTCCAAGATAACTCAGCGCCTTAAGCTTGACGCTGCTCTCCAAGATAACTCAGCGCCGTAAGCTTGATGCTGCTCTCCAAGATAACTCAGCGCCGTAAGCTTGACGCTGCTCTCCAAGATAACTCAGCGCCGTAAGCTTGACGCTGCTCTCCAAGATAACTCAGTACCGTAAGCGTGACGCTGCTCTCCAAGATAACTCAGCGCCGTAAGCTTGACGCTGCTCTCCAAGATAACTCAGCGCCGTAAGCGTGACGCTGCTCTCCAAGATAACTCAGCGCCGTAAGCTTGACGCTGCTCTCCAAGATAACTCAGTGCCGTAAGCTTGACGCTGCTCTCCAAGATAACTCAGTGATGTAAGCTTGACGCTGCTCTCCAAGATAACTCAGCGCCGTAAGCTTGACGCTGCTCTCCAAGATAACTCAGCGCCGTAAGCGTGACGCTGCTCTCCAAGATAACTCAGCGCCGTAAGCTTGACGCTGCTCTCCAAGATAACTCAGTGCCGTAAGCTTGACGCTGCTCTCCAAGATAACTCAGTGATGTAAGCTTGACGCTGCTCTCCAAGATAACTCAGCGCCGTAAGCTTGACGCTCCTCTCCATGATAAGTCAGCGCCGTAAGCTTGACGCTGCTCTCCAAGATAACTCAGTACCGTAAGCATGACGCTGCTCTCCAAGATAACTCAGTACCGTAAGCGTGACGCTGCTCTCCAAGATAACTCAGCGCCGTAAGCTTGACGCTGCTCTCCAAGATAACTCAGTACCGTAAGCTTGACGCTGCTCTCCAAGATAACTCAGTACCGTAAGTGTGACGCTGCTCTCCAAGATAACTCAGCGCCGTAAGCTTGACGCTCCTCTCCAAGATAACTCAATACCGTAAGCATGACGCTGCTCTCCAAGATAACTCAGTACCGTAAGCGTGACGCTGCTCTCCAAGATAAATCAGCGCCGTAAGCTTGACGCTGCTCTCCAAGATAACTCAGTACCGTAAGCATGACGCTGCTCTCCAAGATAACTCAGTACCGTAAGCGTGACGCTGCTCTCCAAGATAAATCAGCGCCGTAAGCTTGACGCTGCTCTCCAAGATAACTCAGCGCCGTAAGCTTGACGCTGCTCTCCAAGATAACTCAGCGCCGTAAGCTTGACGCTGCTCTCCAAGATAACTCAGCGCCGTAAGCTTGACGCTGCTCTCCAAGAGAGAACACTCCGGAAGAAGGGAGTGGGACTCCAAGAATAGCGGTTGCGTGATTAGCCGGAGGAAATGATGGGGTAATGAAGCTGTTTCCCGGCCCCGGCAGCGGCAGCCAGGCGGTGATGGGGCGCCCCGGGTGATGGGAGGGTGATGGGAGGGCGCCTGCACCTGCTCCACCATCGTCCCATCAACACCTACTACAGGAGGCAGATGACACGAGGTGACCCAGCCAAAGTACCACCGCAAACCTGGGGCCAGATTCACGAAGCAGTTACGCAAGTACTTACGAACGTGTACATCTTTCCTCAATCTTTGACGGCTTTAGTTACATTTATTGAACAGTTTACAAGCGTGAAAACTTGCCAATCAACTGTCGTTATTGTTATAAACAGCCTCCTGGTGCTTCGGAGCTCATTAACTGTTTAATAATTGTAAACAAAGCCGCCAAAGATTGAAAAAAGATGTACAGGTTCGTAAGTGCTTGCGTAACTGCTTCGTGAATCTGGCCCCCTGGCCATGAGAGGTGAATAAGACAGTCTGAAGGAGAGGAAACTGCGGCCAGACATACCAAGGCGTCGGCCAATACAAGAGCCCACAATTGTGTATATTATATTTCCCACCACAGACGTGGCCATACGTCTGTGGCCACGTCTGGTTATCGTCTATACAACGATAGCCAGCGTGGAGCCATACGTCTGTGGCCACGTCTGGTTATCGTCTATACAACGATAGCCAGCGTGGAGCCATACGTCTGTGGCCACGTCTGGTTATCGTCTATACAACGATAGCCAGCGTGGAGCCATACGTCTGTGGCCACGTCTGGTTATCGTCTATACAACGATAGCCAGCGTGGAGCCATACGTCTGTGGCCACGTCTGGTTATCGTCTATACAACGATAGCCAGCGTGGAGCCATACGTCTGTGGCCACGTCTGGTTATCGTCTATACAACGATAGCCAGCGTGGAGCCATACGTCTGTGGCCACGTCTGGTTATCGTCTATACAACGATAGCCAGCGTGGAGCCATACGTCTGTGGCCACGTCTGGTTATCGTCTATACAACGATAGCCAGCGTGGAGACTTGTTCCTGGGTAGACAGGGTTAGAGATCTATTAGACATAAAGTGTAGTGAATTATTGACCATTCAACACCAGGTGATTGAAGCGCCTTAACACAGTACGAGCATTTATAACCATGCGTCTAATATGGTTATGGTGAGAGAAGTGCTCTCTTACGTACGGTGTATAATGACTGTTCCACCGCATAACGTGTATATAATGACCGCTCCACCAGACAGTGTGTATAATGACCACTCCACCACACAGTGCATAATGACCGCGCCACCACAGTGTATAATGACCGCTCCACCACACAGTGTGTATAATTGCCGCTCCACCACACAGTGTATAATGACCGCTCCACCACACAGTGTGTATAATGACCGCTCCACCACAGTGTATAATGACCGCTCCAGCACACAGTGTGTATAATGACCGCTCCACCACACAGTGTGTATAATGACCGCTCCACCACAAAGTGTGTATAATGACCGCTCCACCACAGTGTATAATGACCGCTCCAGCACACAGTGTATAATAACCGCTCCAACACAAAGTGTGTATAATGACCGCTCCACCACACAGTGTGTATAATGACCGCTCCACCACACAGTGTGTATAATGACCGCTCCAACACACAGTGTGTATAATGACCGCTCCACCACACAGTGTGTATAATGACCGCTCCACCACACAGTGTGTATAATGACCGCTCCACCACACAGTGTGTATAATGACCGCTCCAACACACAGTGTGTATAATGACCGCTCCACCACACAGTGTGTATAATAACCGCTCCACCACACAGTGTGTATAATGACCGCTCCAACACACAGTGTGTATAATGACCGCTCCACCACACAGTGTGTATAATGACCGCTCCAACACACAGTGTGTATAATGACCGCTCCACCACAAAGTGTGTATAATAACCGCTCCAACACACAGTGTGTATAATGACCGCTCCAACACACAGTGTGTATAATGACCGCTCCACCACACAGTGTGTATAATGACCGCTCCAACACACAGTGTGTATAATGACCGCTCCACCACACAGTGTGTATAATGACCGCTCCAACACACAGTGTGTATAATGACCGCTCCACCACAAAGTGTGTATAATAACCGCTCCAACACACAGTGTGTATAATGACCGCTCCAACACACAGTGTGTATAATGACCGCTCCACCACACAGTGTGTATAATGACCGCTCCAACACACAGTGTGTATAATGACCGCTCCAACACACAGTGTGTATAATGACCGCTCCACCACACAGTGTGTATAATAACCGCTCCACCACACAGTGTGTATAATGACCGCTCCAACACACAGTGTGTATAATGACCGCTCCACCACACAGTGTGTATAATGACCGCTCCAACACACAGTGTGTATAATGACCGCTCCACCACAAAGTGTGTATAATAACCGCTCCAACACACAGTGTGTATAATGACCGCTCCAACACACAGTGTGTATAATGACCGCTCCACCACACAGTGTGTATAATGACCGCTCCAACACACAGTGTGTATAATGACCGCTCCACCACAAAGTGTGTATAATAACCGCTCCAACACACAGTGTGTATAATAACCGCTCCAACACACAGTGTGTATAATAACCGCTCCAACACACAGTGTGTATAATAACCGCTCCAACACACAGTGTGTATAATAACCGCTCCAACACACAGTGTGTATAATAACCGCTCCAACACACAGTGTGTATAATAACCGCTCCAACACACAGTGTGTATAATAACCGCACCACCACACAATGTAACTCAAGTTTTTTTGATGCTTCTAAAACATAATAAGAGAGTGTAAGTCTGGTGTGAGGGGGAAGACATTGCGCCATCAGCGGTCAGGTGACGAGTGATATCACACTGGTTGACGCTCACTAGACAGCTAATAAATTGGGCAAGAGTGCCGATTAAATCATAACAGGCACCTATTGGCTCTCGTGGCTTCATGTAGAGTCATATTCCGAAATCGGTGCCTTGTTCACGTGTTACTTGTATGTTGGGGGGCCTCGTAGTATAGCTGGCTTCGTTCTCTACTCACACTCGAAGATCTCGTGTTCGATTCACTAGCTGGACAGAAATAGTTGGGGTGTTTTCACCTAATGCTCATATCACACACACACACACACAGATGGGGGCTTCATAGCCCAGTGGACATCGCTTTGGACTCGTAATCCTAGGGGTTCGGGTTCGATCCCCAGTGATGGCGGAAACAAAATGGGCATACTTTCTTTCACCCTGATGCCCCTGTTACCTAGCAGTAAATAGGTACCTGGGAGTTAGACAGCTGTTACGGGCTGCTTCCTGGGGAAAGGTATGCGTGTGTGGGGGGGGGGGGATGTAGTTAGTAACAGTTGAGAGGCGGGCCGAAAGAGCAGAGCTCAACCCCCGCAAGCACAGCTAGGTGAAATACAGAAGGTTCAGAGGTTTGCCACCAGACTAGTAGCCGAACTGAGGGGCATGAGCTACGAGGAGAGACTACGGGAATTAAACCTCACGTCGCTGGAAGACGGAAGAGTTAGGCAGAGGTGGAAACAAATGGGCAAAGTTTCTTTTACACTGATGCGTCTGTTCACCTAACAGTAAATAGGCACTTGGGAGTTAGACAGCTGCATGCTACGGGCTGCTTCCTGGGAATGTGTGTGTGTGTATTCACCTAGTTGTGCTTGCGGGGGTTGAGCTCTGCTCTTTCGGCCCACCTCTCAACTGTCAATTAATCAACTGTTACTAACTACAATCCCCCCCCCCCACACACACAGCCAGGAAGCAGCCCGTAACAGCTGTCTAACCCCCAGGTACCTATTAATTGCTAGGTAACAGGGGCATCAGGGTGAAAGAAACTCTACCTATTTGTTTCTGCCGGCGCCTAGTGTGTGTGTGTATGTGCGTTACAGAGAAATATATGTAGTAGATATAATAGAGGAAAAATAGATTGGTTAGAAAGGCGGAGTCCAAGAGCTAATAACTCGTTTCTGCAGACACACATAGTAAATACAAATAGTAAATACACACACACATACAAACATAAAATATATATATATATATATATATATATATATATATATATATATATATATATATATATATATATATATATATATATATATATATATATATATATATATATCCAACATCGATTTATTGTTTCTAGTTTCTGTAGTCATTATGAGAGGAAAGAGTGAATACCGGGGCATCAAGGTGGTGTTATACATCCCCTTCACGGCTGCTTAGAAATGTTTGTGTGTGATCATTTTGTAAATTTTTTGTTAATGGAATAAGATCTCATTTAGACAGTGTCTGGTAACTTGATTTATTGAGGTTGCCACTGGACACTCTTACAAAAACTTTGCGTGTGTGTAGTTACGATTTGTTCCTGCAACTTGGAACCCGCCTTTATAACCCCTCTATTTATTCTTCTATCGTGCCTACTACATATATTTCTAACACACACACACACACACACACACACACACACACACACACACACACACACACACACACACACACACACACACACACACACACACACACACACACACAGAAAGGGGCCTCGTAGCCTGGTGGATAGCGCCCAGGACTCGTAATTCTGTGGCGCGGGTTCGATTCCCGCACGAGGCAGAAACAAATGGGCAAAGTTTCTTTCACCCTAAGTGCCCCTGTTACCTA